CTAGCAATAAGAACACTAGTAGATAAAGAGAAATCATTAGACCATCCATTCACTTGACGAATATATTCACCTAAGTCATCCCACAACCATTCACTAAAACCAATGTTATAAAAAATGTCGCAGGTCCATAATGTTGTATCATACATTCTAAATTACTTCTTGGTCTACGCCAGTACTGTTCCGTATTTCTTAGAGTGGAAAAAATTGTATTCAAATTCGATTCTAATAATTCTTTATGCAATGCATCTAAATACTCTTTAGCCGTATAACGATCTCGCAATTTAGTTACTTCAATTTATGGTAAATACGACTCAATTGACGAATGTTTGCATTATTTAACAAATAGAATAAGTATTGTTTTATCACCGTACAGTTATTTACAAACGCACAGCACCCGATCTTTGCAGGCGCACAGCACCTCTTCTTTGCAGGCGCACAGCACCCGATCTTTGCAGGCGCACAGTACCTCTTTTTTGCAGGCGCACTGCACCTCTATTTTGTAGGCGCACAGCACCTCTTCTTTGCAAGCGCACAGCACCACTTTTTTGCAGGCGCACAGCACCTCTTTTTTTTATAGGCGCACAGCACCTCTTTTTTTTATAGGCGTGCAGCACCTCTTCTTTGCAGGCGCACAGCACCTTTTTTTTTGCAGGCGCATAGCACCTCTTTTTTGTAGGCGCACAGCACCTCTTCTTTGTAGGCGCACAGCACCCGTTCTTTACAAACAACACAGAACTCGTTCTTTACAAACGCACAGCATTCTATTGGCACACAGCAACCTTATACAGGAATACAGAAGACTTATTATATTGAAGAGAGAGAGAGAGAGAGAGAGAGAGAGAGAGAGAGAGAGAGAGAGAGAGAGGGGGGGAGAGGGAAGGAGGGAGAGGGAGAGACAGGGGGGGAGAGAGAGAGAGAGAGTAGTAATAAAAAATTATATACTTATCTTTCCTACTGAACGAAATGTGGAAATCCTAGACCAAAGAAATATAGTAATAATAAAAAAGAGACATTATAGAGAACATTTATGTACATGTACATGAAATAAAAATTTATGAAATTTAATGTACACGTTTATTAAATTTAATTAAACTGTAACTTAATTTTCAGTTGAATCATTCATTACTTTTAATTTTATTCATGACCACGAGCTTCATTTACATGTAAAGAAAGCTTGTAGTCACATTTTTCTAATGGTGTAATTAACACACTATAATATGAAATATTTCAACGAAACTTGGTATTCTAAGGTTTTGAAGGACGCGCTTCACGTTCGCGTCGTCAGAATTTCATTTTGACCATGTGGAAATTAAATATGGTGGTCGGAACAAAAACCAATTTAATTTTGCATGAGTTCTTATGGAGTATCTCTAGTGGAAATAAATCGCTGAAATCGCTGAAATTGCTGAAAATCGCTGAAATCTATATCAGTTGACCCATTTTAATATTATAATTTATACTGAAATGAATCAATTGATATAGACTTTAGCGATTTCAGCGATTTATTTCCACCGAGCAGCAGCATATTCCCTTCCCACTTACATCAACAAAATTATAAAGAAGCAACGTTGCTAATATTCTGAAACTTTGTGAGTAAATAAAATTCTAAAATCAGAAAAAATAGAAGGAGTGGGGGTAATTTTCCCGCAATTACCCTGTTATGCCTTTATGTTATATTAGTATTGTATTATGATTTCAGCTTCTGATCGACAGATCGATCGTGTGATCAATCATCGTGTAAAACTGACTGGATTTCATGTATTTCGCGTGGAAATATCGTTCCTTCCAATGATTTCATGGAAGCAGCAAAAATCATGGATACTGAATCTCAATTATTTCACGGAGACTTTTTTGAATATGCAGGACAACGCATTTTTGATACATTAACTGCGAAAGTAGGTCTGAAACTTGAGTACAAATTTCCGACGGAGGTAATCGCATGTTTGGTGTGAACCAGATCATATATTAGGTTGCGCAATGTAAATATGCAAATAAAAATAAATAATGTAATAAGAAAACAAAAAAAAATAAAAATATGTGCAATCGTATTTCTAATCAGTAATATTTTATATTTTAATAGGTTAAAATAAAGATTTCAGTGTTATTTTAACTTCTAATACTGTTTTTATTAATCATCTGCTGTGAACGTTTGAATTCCACGCGTATAAAATGGGTCCTACGTGATTGGTTGACAAAATATGTCCCCCCCACTCTGCCGCCATGATGCGCAACGATACACCTTCTATAATTCCACCATGATACAACCTACCGTCCCCACCGATCGCACGGCGCGCGGGCCGCTGGGAGTGAGGATGGCCTGCTAGGCGTGCCGTTTGAGGCTGCGGTCCACTTAGCGCTTCAAACGCTACAGAGCATTTGTAGCATTGATATGACTAGTCCATTTGATGCTTCGGAACGCTCCCAGTAACTCCGATTACGTCATCGTTTTTGCTCCCATTTCGCTTCAACTGCCTCACCTCGGGAGGTGGGTTGGCTGGAGCGTTCACGTGGCAATTGTAGCATTCGAAATAGTAATGGACCAATCGGAGTATAGCGTTTGGAGCGTAAGGCCCTGCGCACAATGAAGGAAATATTAGGAACAGGAATAGATATTAAGATTTTAACCTATCTGATATTAGTTACATCGGAATACACGGTTTCTGATAGGTTGAAATCTTAATATCTATTCCTGTTTCTAATATTTCCTCCATTGTGCACAGGACCTAATGTTCGGAGCATTTGGAAGAAGCAAGTGGACCGCAGCCTGAATCGTTTGAAGACGTTTAATGGCAGTTCCCACTCCCAGCGGTCCGCGCGCCGTGCGATCGGTGGGGACGGTAGGTTGTATATTCGGCAACAGTAGGCCGGCCGGACGCGCTTATACGGCTATCTTTAAACGTTGATATCTCGTTAACTATTGCGCAACCTACAAAACGATAAGATTTTTCGATTCAATTCGGTCCGTTCTACCTGCTCGTGATCGATTAGCCGATAATTTTCAAACAC